CCTAATGTAATTTTCCAAGATTTTAAAAATCATAATACAAAATAACTAAATTTATCAAAAGTAACAGGTTTTATGTTTTTTAAACTACTTGCATTTATGAAAGTTTTTATGAAGTTTCAAACAGTTTCATCCACTAGTTTTATTGTTGGAATGACATATAGCAAGACTTGCACTGGCTACTCAGAAAGTTAGTAGCTAGTGGTCAGTGGGTTAAATGGATTGATATAGACTCCAACTACCTTGATTTTAGAAAACCTCAAAAATGCTTTCATGGCAATTAATAACCAAATAAAAAAACAACTAACACTTGATATTTCTCTTTGATACTATATGGTACTGTAAGGATAGCTGGCTGTTATAATCTATAATTCTTTTTCTGGGGGAGGGGGGAGATGGATAAATTGAGGGGAATGGGTGTTATATTGGTATGTATCAGTATCACAGGAGCTTTATGGCTCCAGTCATACCAGAACCTATCTTGTGATTCAACCAGTCAGTCCATTAATGTATTAAGGGTACCAGAAAGCAATGTTGTTTCTGTTACCTTAAATTCAAACATTTCTAATTATGTGCTTTTGTTTCTTTTCATGTGAATTTGATTTAGCAAGCAAAAGAACCCTTTTTGTTCATCAATATTCTGTTAATAAAAATAGTTTTCCTCTTATCAGAAAAAATGACTGACCACCTTCTTAACGAGAATCACATTCAACATTGTATGCTCTACGAGTTTCAAAAAGGTAACAAGGCAACCAAAAACATGTGTGGGGTTCATAAAGATGTTGAGTTGGCTGCAAATGCCAGCAGGAGTTCAGAAAATTTAGATCAGGTGATTTTGAGCTCTCAAATTGCCATTGTTTAAGGAAACTGGAAGAGTTGGATAATGATCTCTTAAGATCAGACATTGAGTCACATCCTTGTCAAACCATCAGAAAAATGTAATTCTTCTTGGTCTAACATTCAAGAACATTTTAAACAGATTAGTGGGACAGAGTTGGCATAATTCACTTTGAGTTATTGAAATAAAATTGGACTATAACTGCAGATCTTTATTGTCAACAACTTGATTATTTGCACTAGGCTCTTACTGAAAATTGTCCAGCACTGATCAACAGAAAAAGGGTCATTCTGCAGCATGACAATGCGAGACTACATTCTGCAAGAATGACTCAAGATAAGAGATTTAGATTGGGAAGTCTACATTCTGCAAGAATGACTCAAGATAAGAGATTTAGATTGGGAAGTCCTGCCTCACCCTCCATACTCTCATGACCTTACCCCTTTAAATTACCATTCATTCAGTCCTATGCATCACTTTCCCAGCAATAAAACCTTCTGAAATATTGATGGCATCAAAACTGCTCTTGCAGAGTTCTTTGTCTCAAAGGAAACTTTCTTCTATCAATAAGGTATTGAAAACTTGTTTGAAAGATGGCACATTGTCATTAATAATAATAGGGATTATGTAACTGATTGAAAAATAAATAATTACCTTTAAAAAGATCTTTTACTGTATAAGGAAAAAAAATGA